GGTAAAATGACAAGTAAATATGAAAAATGAACACATAAAGGTTCGCCCCTCGGGCAATATCTCAGAATAGTACCAGCCCCTCGGGCTCACTCTCAGAACACTCTCAGCCCCTCGGGCTCACTCTCAGAACACTCTCAGCCCCTCGGGCTCACTCTCAGAACAATGGGTACCCGCGCTCACTGTGGGTGTGCAGACTCCGGAGGGGCCCCTTACGGCCCAAGCGCTATATCAAGCCACCTCGTCGCATCATCTCTCGGCACTCGGCCTCACATTACTCGGCACTCGGCCTCATATCACTCAAGCCACCTCATGGCGTATAAAAATATCTCAGGCCCTCGGCCTCATATCACTCAGTATATCCTCACATATGGCCCTCGGCCTCACTCAGTCCGAAAATTATCACAAGCCCCTCGGGCATTAGTAAAACAGCAGTTCTCAGCCAAAACATCATTTAAAATATCATTTAAGTCTCAAAACTGAGTAAAAGTGGCTGAGTTTGTAACAGTAGATATCAACAGGACTGAGTTCAAGTAATAATTCAAAACAGTGAGGAAATAGTGATAAAAATCCCCGAAGGGTTCAAATAATTGGCACGAAGCCCAAATATGGCAATCAGCCCAAATCATGCTGATAACAAATAAGTTTCAGTCAAATATGCGGTAAAGTCATCAATCGGGACGAACCAAGTCACAATCCCCAACGGTGCTCTACCCCACGCTTGCTATCCGTCGTGCAAGTCACCTCAACATAGCACTACGATGTGCAATCCGGGGATTCAAACCCTCAGAATATCATTTACAATCATTACTCACCTCGAACCGACGAAATCTCTAACTCGCGATGCCTTTGCCCCTCAAATCGGCCTCCACGCGCGTCGAATCTATCCAAAATCAGAACGAATACGTCATAATATGCTAAGGGAACAAAGCCCAAGCGAAAACAATCGAAAAATATCAAAAATCCCGAAATTAGCAAAACCCGAGCCCCGAGCCCACTTCTCGAAACTCAGAAATTTTTACATCAACGGGTTCCTTATCTCCTCACGAGTTCATACATACCAAAAGCTCTCAAATTCGACCTCAAATGGTCCTTCAAATCCATAAATCAAATTTCAAAATCCCAAGCCCTAGTTTCTTCCATTTTTAGCTTAAGTTCCATGAATTTCTAGGTTAATTTCACAATAGAATCACGTTTTAGGTTCAAAAATCTTACCTCCAATCAATTCTCCTTGAATCCCTCTTTAATCCCCTTCAAAAGGCTCTCAAAATGCTCAGCTATGGAGGAAAAATGACTCAAAATCGCAGATGAAATGCTTTATAAACTTTCTGCCCAGTTCTGACATTCCTTCATCGCGTTCGCGACCACTGCCTCGCGGACGCGAAGCACATCTTTTAATTTCCCAAAAATCACCCTATGCTAACGCGATGCTTTATTTCCCAGACCTATGCGAACGCGACTCACCTGATGCGAACGCGAAGAGCAAATCTACTGGAACCCCAAGCCTTATACGCGAATACGGAACTATGCATGCGAACGCGAAGCACAAGATCAAAGCCCTCCGCGAACGCGAGACCTCAAACGCGAACGCGAAGGCTAAACTCTGGACAACCCAAAATCCTTCTACGCGAACGCGACTTACCCCTCGCGATCGCGAAGGCTTAAATGCCTGCAACACCTGAACTGAAAATCTGCAATTTTTCAACTTAGAAAAATGGTCCGATTGATCACCCGAAACTCACCCGAGGCCCCCGGGACCTCAACCAAGAGCACCAACACATCCTAAAACCTCATTTAAACTTGTTCCAATCATCAAAACACCTCAAACAACATCAAATTCACCAATTCACATCGAATTCAAGCCTAAGTTTTCTAAAAACTTCCGAAACACGCTTTTGATAAAAAACACAACCAAACCACGTCCGAATGACTGAAATTTTGCACACACATCCCAAATGACATAACGAAGCTACAACAAATCTCAGAATTCCATTCCGACCCTCGGATCAAAATCTCACCTACCAACCGGAAGTCGCCAAAATATCAACTTCGCCAATTCAAGCCTAATTCTACTCCGGACCTCCAAAACCCATTCCGATCACACTACTAAGTCACTAATTACCTCCCAAAATTAACCGAACCATCAGAATTCACATCCGAGCCCTCTAACAAATAAGTCAACATCCGGTTGACTTTTTCAACTCAAGCTTCCTTAAAAGAGACTAGGTGTCTCAAACCTTATCAACAATTATTCCGGGCTCGATCCGACCAACCCGATACCACAAAACACGGATAACGAAGCATAAAGAAGCATAAATGGGGAAAACGAAGCGGTAACTCATGAGACGACTGGCCGGGTCGTCACATATATCAATGTATATAACTTTGTATATCCGCCTATCTCCTTATTATCATGCATATTGATATACATGTCTATGTATATCAATGATAATCTTGTGTTATATACACTATATATATAATATGATGTACAAGTTTATGTATATCAATGAAAATCTTGTGTTATATATAATGATATATGATGTGATGTACACACTGAGATACATCATCAAAAACTTGTATTGAATATTTGGTGATTGACTGTGAATTGTTTTGAATAAATTTCAATTTTGAAAAGGAACTAGCGTGGCACTAGAAGTTGAATATTCAGATTCTCCTAATTTTTTTAGTTCATTTGGTTGGATTTGGATATGCTGTGTTAATTTGTGTAAGCTTTAATTAAAATCCTTCGTTAATACCTTCCTAATAATTCCTAGGAGCGACATGCATATATATATATATATATATATATATATATATATATATATATATATATAAATAAACACACACACACACATATACAGACATATGGTGTACATAAATATGAAGTGTATATAAGATGATAATGTAATATATATTGTAAATATGGTGCGTACAAATAATATAATTTATATGAAATGTATATACAATATATATACTATATATAATATGTATATGTATATTATACAAGTTTGAGTTCCTGGAGAGGCTTTCGATTTTCTCTCTTTTTGCATTGTAACTATTTCCTCTCTCTTCTCTCCTTCTCTCTCACTCACCGTTAAACGCCCCCATTTGCACATCCTCGACCGGCGTTTCCTCAACCACTTCAGGTAAGTAACCCCTTCTAGTTTTTCTCTCTCTTCTCTCCCTTTCCCTCATCTTCTTCTCCTCTGCTAGCCTTCCTTTTTCTTTCTTTATTTTTCTTTTCCCTTTCCTCTTTTATTCTAAACCCTAGGTGGACCATCAAGAATTCGAACACTGGCAGCCCATTTCCTTCTTCCCATTCTCCACATCTATTCTCTCTTCCACCCCTCTCTTGTTTATCTCTTTCCTGCTAGAAAAACTCACAGAAACCCTAAGCAAAAAAATTCACTGCCAGTGCACATAACCAAAGACTAACCCAGCAGACAACCGACAGCGAGGAGAGATAGCGACATCACTAGCGGGCCCAACTGAAATAAAGTTCAGTGTGGGTGGGGTCGTTGTCCAGACATCTCTAATTACATCCCAGGGTCTATCTTTTTGCCTCTCTCTCTCTCTCTCTCTATCTCTCTCTCTCTCTCTCTCTCTCTATATATATATATATATATATATATATATATATATATATATAGACACACTCACACACACACAAACACAAACACATACACACACATAGATACATATATATGGTGTACATAAATATGAAGTGTATATAAGATGATAATGTAATATATACCGTAAATATGGTATATACTAATAATATAATTTATATGAAATGTATATATAATTTTTATATACTATATATAATATGTATATGTATATTATACAAGTTTGAGTTCCTGGAGAGGCTTTCGATTTTGTCTCTCCTTGCACTGTAACTGTTTTCTCTCTCTTCTCTCCTTCTCTCTCTCTCTCTCTCTCTCTCTCTCTCTCTCACCATTAATCGCCCCTATCTGTAGATCCTCGTCCGCCGTTTCCTCGACCACTTCAGGTAAGTAACCCCTTCTCATTTTTCTCTCCCTTCTATTCTCTTCTCTCCCCTTCCCTCATTTTTTTCTGCTCTGCTCGCCTTCCTTTTTCTTTCTTTATTTTTCTTTTCCCTTTCCCCTCTGATTCTAAACCCTAAGTGGACTGTCAAGAATTCGAACATTGGCAGCCTCTTTCCTTCTTCCCATTCTCCACATCTATTCTCTCTTCTACCCCTCTCTTGTTTCTCCCTTTCCTGCTAGAAACACTCACCAAAACCCTAAGCACAAAAAGTCACTGCCGGCGCACATAACCAAAGACGAACCTAGCGGACAACTAACAATAAGGAGAGATAGCACGCATCAATAATAGGCCCCACTGAAATAAAGTTCAGTGTGGGTGGCGTTGTTGTGTAGACATCTCTGATTACATCCTAGGGTCTATCTTTCTTTGCCTTTTTATATTTTGTTGTATTCTATGTCGTTCTTTGTCTTTGTCATTTACAATACAATCACTTGCATTAACTACTTGATTTCTTTGCCCTTATATTCTGATATATTCCATATCATTCTTTATCTTTGCTTTTCTGTGTTTGCTTACAACTAGAGCCTTAAGTTGCAAACTATTTTCTTTTTAATTTACCTTATTGCGTGTTGTATTTTTACAAACTTAATATCCCTTCGATTTTGTGGCTGTACTAAGTGATGGTAGAGTGAGGTTATGTCCTTAGGTGTGGCGGGGGGAAAGGATGGTAAGGGAGCCGCTAGGTTGAGAATTGGGTCTTGGAATATAGGGACTTTGACGGGGAAGTCTATAGAATTAGTAAGTATTCTCCAGAAGAGTAAGATCAATATAGCGTGTGTCCAGGAGACTAGATGGGTGGGTACTAAGGCACAAAAAGTTAACGGGTTTAAATTGTGGTATTCATGAGGTACTAGGGGAAAGAATCGGGGAGGAATTTAGTTGTTAGGGATCTCAAGGAGTTAGTCGTAGATGTTAGAAGAGTGAACAATAGGCCTATGACTGTTAAGCTAGTGGTTGGTAGTTTCACATTGAACGTGATTAGTGCATACGTACCCCAAATGGGCTTGGGTGAGGAGGCCAGATCGCACTTCTGTCAGGATTTGGACGAGGTGGTGCGAGGTGTCCCCCTTACCGAGAAGCTGTTCATAGGAGGTAATTTTAATAGCCACATTGGGAAAGATGCTAGGGGCTTTAATAAGGTGCATGTTGGATTCAATTTTGGAGGTAGGAACGAGGAAGGAACCTCGTTGTTGGAGTTCGCTAAAGCTTTTTATCTATTGATAACTAACATGTATTTTCAAAAGTTGGAGGACCACTTGGTAATTTTTCGGAGTACACTGGCTATGACTCAAATTGATTACCTTCTTTGCAGGAAGTTTGATAAAGGCATGTGCACTAATTGCGAGGTTATCCCGAGCGAGTTCCTATCGACACAACATATGCTCTTAGCAATGGACTTGGAGATTAAGAGAAAGAGAAAGAGAAATAAGAGAGCAGTGTACGGCAAACCTAAGATCAAGTGGGGAGCCTTGACTAGAAACAAAGCTCATGAGTTGGGGGAGAAGTTTGTGGATATGGAGTCTTGGAAGAGTAGCGGGGACGTGAGTAATGTGTGGACCACCACATCAAACTGTATTAGGAAGCGGCTAGAGAGGTGTTAGGGGTCACGAATGATTACTGGGGAGGCCACAAAGGGGACAGGTGGTGGAATGAAGAGGCCCGAGGAAAAGTGCAAGCCTAGACAATAGCATATTTGAAGCTAGTAGAGAGCACAATCGAGGAGGAGAAGAGGAGGAATATGGAGTGTTATAAGAAGGCTAAGAAAGAGGCAAAGTTATCGGTCATGAAAGCTAAGACTGCGACATTTGTACTCTTGTATGAGGAACTTGGGGGCAGAGGCAGTGACAAGAGACTGTACTGGTTAGCCAAGGTTAGAGAGAGGAAGGCTCGGGACCTAGATCAGGTGAGGTGAATCAAAGACGAAAAAGGTAAAGTATTGGTGGAAGAGGCGTGTATTAGGCGAAGGTGGCAGACATACATCCATGAACTTTTAAATGAGGATGGGGACAAGAACATCGTGCTTGGTGAGTTGAAGAACTCGGGGAGCCAGCGAGATTTTGGGTTTTGTAGGCGCATGAAGGTTGAGGAGGTTGAGGGGGTAATGTGAAAGATGAGCCAGGTAAAGCGACTGGGCCAGACGAGATCCTAGTGGAATTTTGGAAGGGCTGGACAGGCTTGGAGTGGCTCATCAGATTGTTTAATGTCATTTTTAGGACAAAGAATGTGCCTGTTGAATGGAGGTGGCGTTTGATTGTTCCATTATACAAGAATAAAGGTGATGTCCAGAATTTCAACAACTATAGGGGTATCAAGCTGCTGAGTCACACTATGAAAGTGTGGGAGATAATGGTGGAGCGGAGGGTGGGGGAAGGATGAGTGTATCTATTTCTGATAACCAGTTCGGATTCATACTGCAGCGGTCGACTACAGAAGCTATACATCTTGTGAGGATATTGGAGGAGAAGTATAGGGAAAGGAAGAAGCACTTGCATATGGTGTTCATTGATCTAGAAAAATCCTATGACAAAGTCCCGAGTAAGGTTCTATGGAGATGTTTAGAGGTTAGCGGAATTCTAGTAGGGTACACTAGGGTGATTAGGGATATGTGTTGGCCCAAGATCAGTTGAAGTTTTGAAGAATGACAAACGAACTCAGTGAAGGACCAGGTTCATCTAAGGAGACACAGTTGTTATGGCCCATACACATGAGATGCACGTGAAGAAGATAAGTCCTTGAGATCAAGCAGCAATATCTTGATGAATATCTTCTGAACTGATCGAAAAGATTGCATATAGGATAAGGAGTTGAAGTCTCCTTATGAAAAGAGAATTACATCCGGATCAAGAATATGGATTAGGAGTTAGAGTTGTTCTTGGACTCGAATTGTCAAAGGATCCACATTGGAGTCTCGATCAAACTCTAACTGCTAATCCATTAAATAACCGAGTTGTTCTCTTTTACATAAAATGCACATAAGCAAAAGTTAAGCATATTTTAGAGCAAAAAGATCAAGTCTGATTTGCAAGCAACATATGCGAGATATAAGTGTGCACGTCTGAAGCTACATGAACTAAGATAGAATAACCAGTTTCATCATTGTGTTTATTCTAAGTCTAGTTCAATTGTAGTAGGTTTTCATATTGTACCTTTCAGCTTTCTTAGAAGCAATTGTATTAGGTACTCTGAGTATTCAAGTTAGAGTTAACTTGAAAGTGTCGCAACAGTTAAGGCTGTGTGCTACACTGGGATTAGAGTTAATCCTTAGGTTTACAAAGAGTTTTGTAACTGCTGTAGTTAGAACACTTAGAAGAACCAGGTTCTTCTAACGCGAAAATTTGGTACCACACAAATCACCCCCCCTCTTGTGTGGTATTGACGTTTATAACATCATTTTGGATTCACTTCTTTTTTTTCTTTTCTTTTATTCTGGATTGAGACTACTTCTGTTGGTCATCTTGGACTGTTGACTCGCATTCTTGCCGCGAGCTTCTGCTACTTCTAACTTGAATTGAATTCTGAAATGACTTCCCTCGTTCTCGAGGTGGGCGCCTGCTACTGACTTGAAACTTGAAATAATTCCGAGACGAATTTCCTCGGTCTCCGGGAGGGTGACTGCAATCAAAACAACAAAACAAACAAAATTTTATGCCCCAGTTTGCACTCGGAAGATTTGTGAGTTGTTAACATAACTGTAAACCACTTATGCTATTGATGCAATGATGAGAGTAAACTAAAGACTCGACTAGGATGTGCTCTCATATGAGTAAAACCAAGAAACTTTGACTAGCAAATGCGTCTGCTAAAAATAGAACTTGAATGACCCAAACTAGAAAGTGCGTCTCATGGGGATGAAATCTCAATTTAGGAAGTGCGTCTCCTAAAAGTATATCCTAAAAGTCCCAGACTAGGAAGTGCGTCTCCTAGGGGTAGAATTTCAATGACTCAAACTAGGAAGTGCGTCTCCTAGGGGTGAAATCTCAATTTAGGAAGTGCGTCTCCTAAAAGTGTATCTTAAAAGACCCAGACTAAGAAGTGCGTCTCCTAGGGGTGAAACTTCAATGACTCAAACTAGGAAGTGCGTCTCCTAGGGGTGAGACATGAATGAATCAAACTAGGAAGTGCGTCTCCTAGGGGTGAAACTTGAATGAACCAAACTAGGAACTGCGTCTCCTAGGGCTGAGCTTAAATGACCCAAACTAGGAAGTGCGTCTCCTAGGGGTGAAATCTCAGTTTAGGAAGTGCGTCTCCTAAAAGTATATCCTGAAAAATCTAGACTAGGAAGTGCGTCTCCTAGGGGCGAAACTTAAATGACTCAAACTAGAAAGTGTGTCTCCTAGGAATGAACTTAAATGACCCAAACTAGGAAGTGCATCTCCTAGGGGTGAAATATCAATTTAGGAAGTGCGTCTCCTAGAGCAAAATATAACTTGAAAGGCCCAGACTAGGAAGTGCGTCTCCTACGGGTAAAACCTCAATGACTCAAACTTATATGACCCAAACTAGGAAGTGCATCTCCTAGAGGTAAAATGTCAATTTAGGAAGTGCGTCTCCTAAAACCAAAAATATAACCTGAGAGACCCAGACTAGGAAGTGTGTCTCCCTGGGGTGAAACTTCAATGACTCAAACTAGGAAGTGCGTCTCCTAGGAATGAACTTAAATGACCCAAAACTAGGAAGTGTGTCTCCTAGGGGTAAAATCTCAATTAAGGAAGTGCGTCTCCTAAATAAAAAATATAACCTGAAAGACCTAGACTAGGAAGTGTGTCTTCTAGGGGTGAAACTTCAATGACTCACACTAGGAAGTGTGTCTCCTATGAATGAATTTAAATGACCAAAGCAAGGAAGTGCGTCTCCTAGGGGTAAAATCTCAATTTAGGAAATGCGTCTCCTAAAACCAAAAATATAACCTGAGAGACCCAGACTAGGAAGTGCATCTTCCAGGGGTGAAACTTCAATGACTCAAACTAGGAAGTGCGTCTCCTGGGAATGAACTTAAATGACCCACAACTAGGAAGTGCGTCTCTTAGGGGTAAAATCTCAATTTAGGAAGTGTGTCTCCTAAAACAAAAATATAACCTGAAAGACCCAGACTAGGAAGTGCGTCTCCTAGGGGTGATGTGTGATCTTCTCGATAGCCTTTGCGTAAGCAGAATTGGGGCATTACACTTGAAAAATTCAAGCTTCCAAGCTTTGATATGAACATAGGCTTCATCCCTGTTTCAGACAAAGAAAACTTGTGAGTTTAAAACATGGTGGTTAGTTTGTGGCCTTGACTACGAGGGGGATTTCTCTTGCACTTGTCACAATCAACTTGGACTTCAACTTGGAAGACGGTGCTTGTTATCGGCCGACCGCTTTTCCAGATAACCCTTATCACAAGAAATATTCCTGATTCGTTTAAGTCCAATACCTTATGCCTGATGCATTGCACTCGTGTTCTAACATTCACCAAATCTTTGCATTTTACATCAATCCCAAAGAACATCTATTATCACCAACTCAGTACACACACTATTCTCCTGTGTCTTATGCCAATTTGATGTGCTTGCCATACTCGGCTTTGTGTGATTAAAAAGCTGGTAGCAGATTTTGAAGTCATTTCTCACTTGTTTCGACAAAAATAGACTCAAAAGGGACTCAAACAAAACAAGAGGAACAAAATAAGGAGAAAAACGAGAAGAGATGGTATCTAACAAGAAAAAATTTTACCCAAGAAAAAGAACAAAGTAGAAACTAATCTGATTTGAAGGCCATCTCCACTGACCATGATATGCATTTTGGATTAAGCGACCTGATCTGTCAAGCAAGTCTAATGTTCAACTTTTGTTGTACCTCTGAGCCGTGAAACTGGGCTTCAATGCTCCGACTATCCTAGCTGATTCACCGACCTTATTCGACTTGTAGTGCCTGAAGGATTTTCACCACCAAGCCTCTCTCATTTTGTTCTTTCTCTTAACTTACCGTCGCCTTATGGTTCCTGTGAAGGTTTTTACCAATAAGACTCTTTCATCTTGTTCTTTTTTTCTTATTTTCTCTGATTCTACAGATGGCAAGGCATTGGCCATAGTACAAACATCATATGCTCCTGGCATGTCTAGCTCGGCACTCTCAAAGATTATTTGGGAGGTCTTTTTGGACTGTAATGTGGCTTTTGGATAGGGTTAGAAAGAAAGAAAGGCATGAAGTCTCAAATTCAAACTAAGACCAAATGGGGTATAACTTTACAACTTTTGGAACCGCCTTATATAGAAAACAAAACTTCTGCCCCAGTTTCTAAAACAAGAGGATTTGATTATTTTTTTTCCCGATGGAATTTCTAAGACAATCTTCCCCACTCTTGACTTTGTGGGATTATGAAATATTTTATTTGGTGTGACCGAACAGTAAGGTTGCCTACGTATCTTGTGGTGACAAGAATCAGGTCAAACGTAGTTCAAAAGACTACTCATTGTTGCCGCTATTTTCTTTTTCTTTTTTTTTCTTTTTCTCTCTTTTTTTTCTTTTTTTCTTTTTCCTTTAGAATGAATTTTCTAAAACAAACCTATGGGGACACGTTCTTCTTTTTTTCCCTTTTTTTATGACTGTAACTTGATTCCAAAAA